GAAGTTTCTTCTCTTGCAAAATTATTAGAGAACCTGGAGGAAACATGGATGGACACATAATACAAATTGATTTGTCGGTTGATTTCTCTAGTGTTGACCTAGCCGTTTCAACAACTACCATGAAGAGAATATTTTCAGCAATGGAACATGAACATTGATTTGTGCAACAAAATGAGCGATGAATTTCTCGTTGATTACTTAGCTATTTTCTTTGAAAAAGAGTATATTATCAGTATGGATTGAGATTATATTATTGATGAATTTGCTAAATTAAAATACCTTCTTGTACAATTGGCATTGTAATGAAAATTATATTATTATATATTTTTGTTTATGGTATCTAATATTCTATTCAAATACGGCCCAATGCTCTCTTATGTCCCGGATCCGCCGCTGTGACCAACAATGCAATTAACCCTTAAACTTTCACTTAAGAAATGAGATCTTCCCTGCTAATCACCAAATGTTCGAGGGTTAGGCCTTCATCCACGGGCTAATGGACAACGTCACAACGACCCCAAGACAAATCTTAGGCCGCAGCGGAGCGCGGCCAATACCACCTAGTAATATATAACACTTATATACGTTTTGTCTTGGAAAACATATCATATATAATGTCTCGAAAGTCTTTTGTGTTCATATGAAAAAGTGTCAGCAAGACGGTCTACAGGATAGTGACAAGAGGGCATGGTATAAAAGGTAAGCCATGAACTCTAATATAAGGAAGGCGAGGACAAACCCGACTAATTAAAAGCCTAGAGCATAAAAAGCCTAAACCCTAAATTAAATGACCCGTTTGCTTCTTCTTCGTATATATTTTTCCATAAGAATTTATCTTTTTATTTGTTCACCTCATTTCTTATTCTTTTCTAGCTAATTTGTTTTATGACCATACGTGAGCATTTAAGGTTCACAAAACCTGGTGGAGGAGGACGAAAATTTCTCATTCATGCACGAAGACGACAATGTGACACCTTGAATGATGACCGATAAAAAATTTGGGTTATATTTACTGGAATGCTAAATGTCGTCATAAAATTACTATGCGTCGTCCTAATTTTAATACGCAATTTAAGTAATTGTTCAAAACTAAATTTCAAATTATCACTAAGACAAACACACCCTAAAAATTAACAAACCTTATCTCCTCTGCCATGCAACAGACACCGACGCCCATCCCCTCCCATCCCGCCGGCGCCCATCCTCCTCTTTCCTCCCATCTCATCCCTGCAAGTGACACCGGAGCCCATCCCTTCCATCCCGCCGGAGCCCATCCCGTACATCCCGACGACGAGTTGTCTTCCTCCGGCCCGAGCTATACGAGTGGCTTCATCCTTTCCTTGATTGAGCGCCTACCAGTAGCCGTTGATAAAAAATACTCCTTTCCTCGCTGAGATAATCGCCGGCGATAGTGGTTAGTGAGAGGCCACGGTCAAACGCGCGTCAAAGCCCGTTTTGGACCGACAGTCAAACATACTGAAGCTGCGTTTTAACCAAAGGTTAAACGAGTGCGTTGCAGCGTTTCGACCCGTGGTTATTGGTTAATCTATTATTTTATTGCGTTTTCGGCAGGTGGTCCAACAACCACATCGCTGCGTTTCGACCACGGGATAAGAGTCTGCTACGCTGCGTTCCAAAACCAGCGATAAAACAGAGGTTTTGACGGATTTTGAGTTTTGACCAATGGTCAACCGACTGAGGGAGGGATTTCGCCCGCTCTTACATTTCGCGATCGTTTTCTTCGGCGAGAAGGGACGGCAGGAGCGTGGTAGGGCGACGAGCTATTTTCTCTTCTCGGTCTTGGGCAGAGGAGGGAGGACACGTTTTGCGAAGGGTGGCTATGGCGCAGCAGCTGGGTCCTCGCGTAGTCTGCCGATGGGATGGGTCGAGGTTGGTTCGTCACAGGTCGTCGCAGTTCAGACGGCACACTGCCTTTTTTGTCGGCGACAGTCGGTGGAGGTGGACCGGCAGGAGGAAGCTAACCCCGGGGTATGGTTTCCAGCGAGAATCAGAGAGACGGGAGGTAGGTGGTATGGCTGGAGGAGAGCGGATCCAGTGACTAAGGGGGGGTGCTTAGTCACTTGACTAAGCCCCTCCCAGCCCTTAGATCTGGACACTTCAATCCAATGGTTAAAAAGTGGGAAGGGCTATTTAATTAATGACAGGGGTAGTTTGGGTATTATGGAAAATTACGAAGTATACAAACCGGATTTACAATCAGTACAAACCATACAAACATACGAACAGTACAAACTAGAGCGACAAAACATACAAACATTACAAACGTATGAACTGTACAAACAATACAAACTAGACTGACAAACAATACAAACCATACAAAAAGAAAAAACACCCGGGTTGACTTTGGAGGCTCCATCGTCTCCTTCCCAAAGTCAACCCGGGTGTTTTTTAGACATACAAACAGTACGAACATGGTGGACAAAAATGACAAACTAGACCGACAATCCATACGAACGGGAAAAAACACCCGGGTTGACTTTGGAGGCTCCATCCCTATATAGAGGGGCTCCTTCCCAAAGTCAACCCGGGTGTTTTTTAGACATACAAACAGTACGAACATGGTGGACAAAAATGACAAACTAGACCGACAATCCATACGAACGGGAAAAAACACCCGGGTTGACTTTGGAGGCTCCATCCCTATATAGAGAAGTTTCATCCAAAAGTCAACCAGGTTGTTTTTTAGACATAAAATACATTACACATGATGCACAAAAATAACAAAGTTTACAAACATTACAAACATGGTGCACAAAAATAACAAAGTTTACAAACATTAAAAAATAACAAAGCGTACAAACATTACAAAATATGTCAACAAACATCACAAAACACTGTCGTCGGAAAATTCTTCTCCGTCGACGATGGTCGCCGAAAAAAAAATTTCCGACCAGAATCAATATCTCTCTCATAATTCCCTGGACAAAAATCTCTCTCGTTGGGATAATTCTCTCCTCTCTCTCTCCTCTCTCCTCTCTCTCTCTCCCTCCCTCCCTCAAAATTCCCTGGGCAAAAATCTCTCTCGCTAATTCCCTGGGCAAAAATTGGGGAATAATTGCCACACTCCCCCTGCGAAAAGTGGTCGGCCGGAGAGAAGGATTGGCCTGGCCGGCGGGAAACTTTCTGGAAAAAATAACCAGGCCGTCGGAGAAGGAAACGGATGGGCGGGCATGGGCTGTATTTTTATTTAATTTAATTGGTAAATAAAAAATAAATAATTAAATTACTACATTACCCTTCATTTAATTTGATTAATCAGGACCATAGGATTTTAATGAGGGGGAAGGGCTGAGATTCACTTAGTCACATGACCCCCCTTAGTCACCTGATCTTAGCCCATGGCTGGAGTTTGTTAGCTGATTTACTTTCAAATTTAAGATTGGACAAAATAGTAAATATATATTTAACTTAGGACCACAAATAGTAATATTAGGACGACCAATATCAACTCCCTAAAATTATAGTGAATTGAATAACATGAATGCAAGCATTAGAATCCATGAAGAAATAGACTAGAGACGAACGTTGACTATCCTAAAATTTGGACTTGCATGAAAAGGAGAATGGTCAGATGCATGTTCCGTTTAGGATAATGCTTTCCTATAATCCAAACCTCAATGAATCATGTTCATCCTAATAATATAGCTACATTGTTTATGTTTTAGTTAGTAGTAACTCCTGTTGAGGACAAATTACTATCCGATCAACAAGTAGTACTTAATCAATTGAATAAGACTTAAGAAGCTGCCACACCTTACACCTATAGTAAATCCTGACACCCGTTAGTAATGTATTGGTATAGGTTGTTTTTTTAATGAAGATGGCTGTCAATACGAGATAGAGAGTGACTTCATAGAGCTCCGGTTTTCGCACAAAGCTGATGAGCAACAAAATTAGAGTGACCGTTTTATTCTGGAGGCGACCGACTGATAGTCTGTCGTGCACAACGAAGGCAGTGCCGCGAAGTGCGAACGTCTTAAAGAGAGCGACCTAGTCCGCGACTCAGCCAAATCGGTAACCCTATTTTTCTGTTCGGATTCTAACACTACTTACCACAAAAATGTACAGCGGTATAGGAGTTCACATGTTGACATCGAAGAACGAAACTCCCTCCTCAATAATTTACTCTCTCTACTCCCTAGTACTTCTTTCTTTCCAAATACTGTCTCACAATTCACAAACCCTCTCTCTATCTACAGTATACGATATTCTGACCCTCCATAACATAGACAATTATTCACATGCTATGATGGAGCGAAAACAGCAATCCTCCCCCATCCCACTGCTGACTCCAAGCTAGCAGACACTAGTGTAGCACAGTGACATGTGGGGAGATGGAAGATTTGCCTAACTTAGCTCCCTGATTGAAACCCACCATAAAAGAAGAACGTATGGTGAAATGTTTTTTACAATATAATGGTGAAGAGAAAATCAGAAAGCAAACAAAGAGATAAGCTTGGGAATCGACGACTGAATTGGGGTTGTCTAATTGATTTACAACAAGCATCGCAACAAAATTTCATGGAGTGAAAAAAACTGAGCCCCTTGGGTCGTCACGGATGGTGCATTGAAGTTTGGGATCCATCGATTGCCCAACTACAATCCAAACCTCTCCACTTCCTTTCATTTCCCCCCACAGACGACAGAACCGATCTTTTATTATTATTTATTTTCACTTCATCCTTTTCTGTATATCTTCACCCACTTGGTGAATTAAACTATAGCATATCGATACACCTGTACATTGGAGCACCTTCGCGTGTCATAGATAGGAAAAAATATTGCTAGGAAGTCACGGGTTTACCCTTCCATTGTTATATAATATATACTGATGACATCTGTCCCTTGTACAGGACACCCACCCCTCCAAAACCCTAAACATATAATATAGGGTCACCCTTTTCCAAGAACCCTAAACTGAGATCATGATCACAACGATGGGTACCTCGAAGGCTTCTGTAGCCATGTTCTTCATCTCCATGCTCCTCATGCTGATCTCCATGCCTCCGATCTACGCTTGCGCCCCTTGCACTCACCCGAATCCACCTTCTTACGGTCCTCCACACCACGGGGGAGGCGGTGGTGGTGGAGGTGGAGGAGGAGGTGGTGGCGGAGGCGGAGGCGGAGGCGGCCATCAGGGTGGAGGTGGTGGCAGCGGTGGCGGCGGGAAAGGCCATAACCCACCATCGAAGGGACCACAAATGCCACCGATTGTCCTGCCCCCGATAGTAAACCCTCCGGTGATTCGACCTCCACCCATCACAAACCCTCCGGTGGTGCTACCACCTCCATCGGTCACTCCTTCGCCACCTTGCTCGAGTTGCTACCCCGGCGGTGGTGGTGGAGGTGGTGGTGGTGTACCTAGTCCGCCAGCCACGCAGCCGAGGTGCCCGATCGACGCGCTGAAGCTAGGCGCGTGCGTGGACGTGCTGGGTGGGCTGGTGCATATAGGGTTAGGGGATCCGGTGGTGAACACTTGCTGCCCGATCCTGAAAGGGCTGCTGGAGCTGGAAGCCGCGGTTTGTCTGTGCACCACCATCAGGCTCAAGCTTCTCAACTTGAACATCTTCATTCCTCTGGCGCTTCAGGTTCTCGCCACTTGCGGGATGACTCCCCCACCAGGCTTCGTTTGCCCTCCGCTATGAAAACCAGACTACTATATACTGTTTGGTATCCCGTGTTGAATAAAAGTTTCTTAAGAAAAAAAGAAAAAAAAAAATTAAGGTCACTTGACTGATTGAGTAGCTAGCTAGCTAGTTGTTGTGTTTTCCCTTTTGATGATGAACTGTTAGTTGTAGCGTTGTTTTGGGGGTCAAATGTTGTCCTGTGTTGCTCTCAGCGTTTGATGAATGGTTGTGTTGGTGCATGTTTTGGATTAATGTGTTATTGTTCTCAGCACCTATAAGATTAGAAGATGCTGATTATGATAGGCCCGGCCGTGTCACTTTCCAATATTATTAACTGTTTAATATATGCCTATATACATGTCATAATCTGAAAACCGAACATTGAAGGGTTTATCTAGTACAAGTAGCTCCGCCACCGATTTCAGAAGTTGGTATCGATTGCGGATGGTTCAGCTCTTTTGAAGATTGTTATTCTGAGTTTGACAAGGTACATTAGGGGTGGGCAACGGAAAACGGGTATTTGGGTATATCCGTACCCGTCCCGTTTTTTGAGGGTTACGGCCCGTAATTTATTTTACGGGATGGGACTTGAGATCAAGAATCACTACTTCGGGTACCCGCGGGTTACTCGTTAATACCCGTTAGGGTACTACGGGTACCAGTTTTACCCGTTAGTCCAATGCAAAATTAGTAATTGATGATGTTAATATGCATTAAATGGAGAAAGTAAGAAATGGAAAAGATCACTTTTCCACAGTTGAGAAGTAACTAATAATTAACAAGAGTTTTGCCTCCCAATGCCCACTGTTAATCCTTATTTACCATCTCACAGGAGAAGAAATTTAACAAGAATGGAAAAAAAATGATCAGCAACTAACTCATAAGAAGCACATACAATATCCTATAAAAAAACGCACATGCCCATCAGTTTTGCGACGCGGAGATTGTCCTTTCAACACGGCAATCTTATTCCCCGCAATCAACGTTACTACTCCCAATTGAACGGGTATTTACGGGTAGTATGGGTACCTGTTATTCGTCCCGTATGGATAATGGGTACCCGTTTACCCGTACGGGTTTGGGAATGGGATGCAGATTGCTCTCCAAATGGGATTGGGTACCCGTTTCAAACGGGACGGGTATCCCGTCCCGTCCCGTTGCCCACCCTAAGGTACATACACATGACAGGCTCTGGAGAGTCTGAAATGAGCCGAGAGGGAAGACTAATTAAGCAGTAATTAAGGAAAAGCGAGTGTTAGGAATAGGATGCCCTAGCTAGTCACATGCATGGCATGGCAATGCCCAGAGCTGAGCCCTAAACCCAAGCCCATTTTCAATGACAGCAGGAAAAAGAGCAAATTAAAAAGGCTGAGCCCGAGTGAGGGTGACCCAGGCTCGATGTCAGCAACTCTTGCTTGTAGCCTGCGACCTAAAGTTTCTCGGACTGCCAGGTCCGATTGTTTCAATGGGATCTGCTCATATATAGTTGGGTTGTGTATTCTGAACTATTTTCTTGTTGTGTCCTCATTGTTTTCTTAGGCCCTAAAATGGGCGAGCCCATTGCAACAAATGGATTGTCCATCCGGCTAGGGAGGCCTGCACCTATTTGTATCGAATAAAGGATAAGACTTTTTGGGAAGTGAGGGCTGGGAGTACTAGTTCTTGGATCTGGAAGCGACTTCTAAAGGTTCGAGATAAGGAAATAATTGATGTGAGGTGCCCAAGCTTTGCTCAGTATGAAGACTATCTGAAGTGGGCAGTTTGTCACTTTAAAGGAAGAAAATCTCTTGCCATGGTTGGTAGACTTGTTTGGAATACGGTGGACTGGTGAGCAGTGGCGGATACATGATGCTTTAGGGTTTAGGGTGTTCCGGGACACCCTAAATTTTGGGAACACGATTATTCAACCCCGGTAGTAGTTTCGTATGGATAAACAAAATATAATTAGTAATCTGGGACACCTCTAAAATTTTAATAAATAATTTATCTTACCCTCGATAGTAATTTGCGTGATTAAAAAAATATAAGTGGTACTCTGTGTTATTCAAATCTAGGACACTACTATTATTTAACATCTTCACCATTAAGTTATAACTCATTTGTTCTATTTTAAACACTATGTAATGGTGAAAACGCGATTTCTTATCCCCAGGGGTACCCTAATTTGAATTGATTTTGTGGTAACACTGCAAGTGTTGAAACAGTCTTTTCAACTCTGAATTACATCATGAACGAGGTTAGAAATTGAATATGCGATCTAGTAGGATATACCGTTTGTTGAGCAGTATACACACCAAATCTATCTTATATTTTTTTCGAAATATGAAAACACATCGTGACTTTTTGTCAACATTTATACTAATTGGTTATTTTATTATTTATGTATTATTTAATTTAATTATTAATTTAATTCAATTTTTCGAAGAGGACACCCATACAAAAAATTTCTGGATCCGCCAATGCTGGTGAGCATGATTTGGCGAGAGCGGTGTGGTAGGGTTTATGGAAGGACAAGAACTCAGCATGGAGAGGTTATCCGTATGATTCGGCGGTTGATTGAGTTAGCACGACTAGGATATGAACGATTGAATGCTAATTGTAGAAGTGTTTTCTTGTATTAGCTTCTGTATAGGCTCTATTAGATGTATATGGCAGGTGTAATTTTCTGTCTTTGCCTTCTAAAGGAAGGTGTTTCCTCTGTAAATATCCAGGTGTGATCCTCCTTGTTATAAACGCGCTGCTACGGATCGGGAAATCGCTGGAATCGACAAAGCTGACGCACATGGCGGACATGGCGGGAAATCCTCCTTGGTGAGCAAGTCAGCAAGCTGAGATGCAGTAGGCACATGGCGGAGATGAAGACGGTTAGCAGTGACCAGCTGACGCACAAAATGGTAATCAAGAGCCAAGTGCTTCATACGTGAGTGGAATACGGGGTTGGAACTGAAATGAATGGCACCCAGGTTATCACAGAACATTGTCGGAACCTGAGGCAGCGGATAACAAAGTTCCTTCAGCAAATTCTGAATCCAAACCGTCTCGGAAGTAGCCAAAGCGAGAGCCCGATACTCGGCCTCTGTACTCGAGCGAGCAACTGTTTTCTGCTTTTTAGACTTCCATGAAATTAACGTATCACCAAGATAGATTAAGAAGCCCGACGTGGAAGTGCGATCATCGAGATCTCCAGCCCAGTCTGAGTCAGAAAACCCCCGCAAGGAAAGAGGAAGAGACTGGCGGCGGATGTGAAGTCCAATGGTACGAGACCCAGCAACATAGCGAAGAAGTCTTTTGACGTGCTGCCAATGCACTGTGGAAGGCGCATGCATATATTGCAATAGCTTATTAACTGCAAAAGCTACATCGGGATGAGTAGTTACCATGTACTGGAGAGCACCGATCACTTGACGATAAAGAGTGGCATCGGCCGAGGAAGTACCATCAGTTGACATGAGGCGAGCTGTAGACGTGAGGGGTGTAGGGGCCGAGTTGGCCTCATGCATTTGGAACCGAGACAAAACGTCATTAATATATTTATGTTGAGACAAGATAAAGCCGGATGCAGTGGGGATCACCTCGATACCAAGGAAGTAATGTACTTGGCCCAAATGTTTGAGGGAGAAGCTTGCCGAGAGTCGGTCTTGAACGGAGCGAAGAAAGTCAGCATTGTTCCCCGTGAGTAGTAGGTCATCAACGTACATGAGAAAGTAGGCTAGAACACCATTGCGCGAGTAGACGAACAGGGAAGCATTATAGCAAGTCCGGACAAAGCCACAGGAGAGTAGGAACTTACTCAGAGCATCATACCATGCTCGTGGGGCTTGCTTCAGGCCATAAATAGCACGACGTAGTCGACAAACATAATCAGAATGAGCCGGATCCCGGAAGCCTGGAGGTTGAGCCATATAAACCTCCTCCTGCAGAGGCCCTTGGAGGAACGCATTGTGCACATCATACTGATAGATGGGCCAATGAGAAGACAGAGCAAGAGTGAAGACGGTACGAACTGTAACGGGCTTGAGAACAGGACTGAATGTCTCATGAAAGTCAACACCTGCACGCTGGTGAAACCCTTTAGCAACCAGGCGAGCCTTGAAGCGCTCAAGCACACCATCAGGACGCCACTTGACACGAAAGATCCACCGGCAGCCAACTATGTTATAATGTGGTAGTCTGGGAACAAGATCCCAGGTGTAATTGGCGAGGAGAGCACCATGTTCAGCTCGAAGTGCTTGACGCCACTCCTCGTACTACATTGCCTCTTTCACTGAGCGAGGTTCCAAAGGAGGTGATTCCTGCAAAGTAGTCACATGAGCATAGCGAGGGTTAGGCTTGACAATGTTATTCCTGGCACGGGTGGTCATGGGATGTCGTGGCGGGGCAGGAGCTGTCAATGGTGGAGGTACAGCCGACGAGCGCGCTGGAGAAGAGTCGGCCAAGGAAGTGGACGTTGGTGGCGAAGAGGATGATCCGTCCACGTGAGGAGCAGTAGGGGGCGTTGGCGCTGACCGGGATTCATGCTGATGACCTGGTGGAGTACGTAGTGTGCATGGAATAAAAGTAATAGGTGGAGAGGTGGATGTAAGCCATGACGTGGAGGAGGACTCGGTTGCTTGGGGAGTGAAGGAAGTATCGACCCCAGGAAATTGGGATTCAACAAATAACACATGACGTGAAAGGAAGATACGATTGGTACGGGGATCAAGACATCGGTAGGCACTTTGTTGATGAGAGTAGCCTAAGAAGATACACGGATGAGAACGGGGCTGAAGTTTGTTGGTATTTTAGGGACGCAACCAAGGGTAACATAGGCAACCGAAGACTCGAAGTTTGGAGTAGTTGGGGGTTTCATTGAACAACACAGTGAAGGGTACCTGACCACGAAGAGCAGACGATGGAAGACGATTGATGAGATAGACAGCAGTGGTAAAGGCATAGGACCAGTATGAAAGAGGGAGTTGAGCCTGATGTAAGAGAGTGATGCCAGTCTCAACAATGTGACGGTGTTTTTGTTCAGACAG